TCTGGAGAAGGATCCGGCGGGATAGGCGATATCTGGCTTCGGCAAGCTTGCCGACACGCCACAGATGCTGCACAGGATGCACTCGCTTTCACCTGGAACATGCTTCGGGGCCCCGAGGAATGCAACGTAAGTCGCCGACGGGTAATTGCCGCCGGAAACCGAGCTAACCTGTCCCTTCTCAGACACGGCGATATCATGCATTCTTCATCGAGTCCTCCTGCGCTGTTCTGTTATACGACAGCTTACGCCATCCGGCAAAGCACCCTCACAACTTGGAGTTCATTCAGATGGCAATATCTTGTTTGCGCTCATTAGTGGGAGACGATCCAGTGACGAACGCCATACATTCCATCAAGCGCATCGTGTGGGCTGTGGAACAATCCATCAACGCGGCCAAGTCCACAGGCGCGTTCTTGGACGTCGCTTCTGCCGACTCGTCACCCTCATGGACCGATGATCGCCTACCGACCAACATACAGTTTCCATCCTTAGAGGAGAATAGGGCTACAACGTCGGATGATTTGATCTTCTTCAGCAACAGAGCTTACCGGCCACAACCTGAACCCATCACAGAGTACAGCATGCCGATGTCAGGCTCGGTGGGGAACCCATTCCCTGACTTGAACTTTGATGTGCTCACGACAGATCTGTTTAACTTCTTCCCAGTCGAGATGAATTCGGGGCCTACTGGACACGGAGGAGCATAGCTAGATTTAATCAAATACAAGATTGGATAAGTCACAGGCAGTTGTTTCTAAAGCAGAGAGTGCTTTGTTGACTCAACAATTCTTTACTTCGCTTATACTCGTATGTCTGTTGGCTACGTCTCATGCATCTTACTTGCAGTTCTAGCCTCAATGTCACTTGGCATCGTGATTCATGGAATCTTCTGAACACACACACGACAGGGTCTATACTGACGCACAATGGCGTTTCTCTACTCATAGAGGCCAATCAGATCTTATCTGTCGTAAAGCTGCCTCCGAGACATATCTTGAGGCTTCTGCAGCTGGACTCAGCCGCACCCAATGAGGCTAAGAATGACTGTGATTGTGGCTAGCTGGTTTCACGTTAGCAACCTCTTCCAGTGTGCGAGATGGCCGCTTTGAATATTACATTTGTCAATGGTCTTGCGAGCTCAACTAATCGTATGCTAGTGCCACTCAGCTTTTACACTTTGAATGATTCACAGGTCAGACTGGTATGCTAAGCTGAACTCGAAGGATCGTATTGTTTGAGAAGGATGCGCATCTTGCCTTGCCAAGGCGGACTTTCTCCAAGATGGAAGACCATGATGCTCAAGGATATGTGCTAATAGTCGATAACTCTGCGGTGATCTTCTGCCATTGGGTTACCTCCCTTGATTTCCCCCTGAAGGTAAGCTAGTAGAATTGTGGTTGAGAGTGTATCTATAAAGTGGCCAATCTTACCTCTCTCTCGGCGTAATTGTCACTATTTTAGGAGCCATTCTTCTCTCGAGATAGGTTCTAACTGAGTTTAACATTGATCATACGACTGATTTCCGATAAAATGGCATCTTCTTCTAAACTAGAACAGCTCCGACACTATCTGTCGAGCCTGGACCCGAAGAACTTATTAGAAGGAGTTTCATTCCACTATGACACAGCCAACGAACTCGGCTTCAAACCTGGCGACCCATTTGACTTCTTCGTCGCCACTCCATTTGGCAAGTGGTCTGATACATCACCTCCAATTCCCAACGTCGTTGCCGCTGCTGTGTCCGAGGCTTTGGTGAATGGCATGGCCTCAAAGAACATATCGATCGGTCAAAATGGATCCAAGTACATGTTCATCGACTTACTCACCCTCGCACCATTCAACTCCACTTTCTTCACCAAGGGCATCAGTCCAACTCTGAACAAGCTCGTCAATGGTCTTCAAAGTGATGTCACGCCAGTCATCCGTCTACTATGCGGCGACAACGGCATCACCGCAGCTCAGTTCAAGGACGCTAGTAACGGATCCGGGTGGAACGACTACAAGCAGATTTTCTGGTCTAACAATCAGCCATCCATCACGCACCCCAAGGCAGAGCTTTACATTGGCTTCTACAACCCCGACTTCAAGTTTCAGCCCGGAGGTAGTGAGGCGTGGGTGAAGAAGCTTCAAGCCGAGCTCAAGAACTACTTGAACAACTCAGCTTTGTCCGGCCATCCCTGGGTAATCGATCTGGCCACCATTCTCGTCAGCGATGGCCTCTTACCTCTCGCCAAAGTCGCCGAGAGTAAAGGGCTTCCAGCTCTCAGCTGGAACCACGCAAAGGTCACGGCGGTCAATGGTACCACGATGACCACGGGAGGTGCGAACCTGTGGGACAGCTATGGCGATACCCAGGTTGGAACCTTCGACTCTATGGTCAAGATCAGAGGCGATGCAGCTATTGAAGCCCACAAATATGCTGATGCTTTGTGGAGGCAAGTCGGATCTAAGCTAGACACGATGAGCGAACACTAACATGAGAGTAGCTACCTCAACGATATTCCTTCCGACGACAATGCTTCATTCCGACATTCCATCAAGCTCTCAGGGCCGACCCCAACAGGGGCAGACAGCTTTCAGGCAGACACAGTTCCACTTTTTAGTGACACCAAGCAGTCTGTGAAGAACTCTGGGTCGCAAGCAGTTTTGACAACTAGTAACGTGGGCGATCGTCTTCCCGGATCTGGTAAACACCGGTACCCTATCCTGGTCTTGAATGTCGTGAAGTAAGTACTCTTTCATCTAATTCAAGAACACAAATAGATCAGCGCTGACCAGAACCATTGTGCAGAGACATTTTGATGCAATTGGTGTACATGCAGACCACGAAAGGCATCAATCCCTCGAGTGGCGCAACCCCTGACTTGAAGGTCATGAACACCGTTATCGATGTGCTGAGCGATCAATCCATCCTCCCCGCCATGCAGCGGTTTGGCCTCAGCCCCGCCGTATGGGCAAGCAAAGCCGCGCGATTCCACGCTATCGAGAATGCGACGAGCAACATTACACTCGCTCAGGAGATCTTTGTAGAACCATTCTTGCGAGGCAATCCAGGCGCCAATGCCATCAAGGGGTGGCTCAACACCAAACTTGGTCTCGACTGGGATGAGTACGTGGTCCCGTACGACGTTATGCAGGCCATGTGCAAGGGTCTGCTTAATATTGTCAAGACTCATCCTCAGGATAAGAGCTTCGGGATGTACATCTTGCTCACCACTAAAGATGCCGGAGGAGGCTATGGAGATCCGTACTCGTGGAAAACCTTCCGGGAAATCCTGACTGGCCTTCTCGGCGCACAAGAACTGCCGTCAGGTACCACTGCTGCGGAGATTATCCAAGACCGGCTCCATTGCAAGAGAATAATGCAGAACGATAATCGGTATGGCCAACACAGTAAGATCGTGTGTGTTGATAGGCAGCTTCTGTATGTGGGAAGCGACAATATTTATCCAGAGTATAATGAGCAGCATGGTGTCTGGATTGACGATACGAAGAACATTGAGGCATGGTACAGCCAGTACTTTGATACTGCATGGGAAAAGGGAGCCGACATTGTCGATTAGGTAGAAGACGACAGAAGTTGGTTCTTCTATCAAGCTCCCGTATTTAGGAAAACAACGATTCTGAGCCATAAATTAAGTTTCGCCAGAGGATCAGACGTACCGAGATAATTCAGAAAGTAGACTAAGCATCGTGGCCCCATAAGAGTCGCACATGGCAGTCCCAAAGTTCAACGTCGTTCTGGACAGCCGAAGAGCCTCTGAATCTAAAATTTCGCCGAGCCTACCAAGGTTCTCCCGAGGCAGTTCTTCTTACCCTGCCTATTTTACGAATAGATTTCTATCAAATGAGAATCTTCCCCCTTTACCAACCGCACCACACTTTTCTAAGAGATCAAGACACTCAAGCACAATGGCATGTTACAAATCTTTCGTCTTTTCGAAGATCAGTCTATGAGTTATGATACTAATCTACTACCCACTTCTAGAAACTATCAACTATCATCGTAGCCGTCGTCGGCTTCGCTGCCACCAGCGTCAACGCCCAATGGTACCCAGCCCGCAACTGGACAAACTGCATCGCCGCCACCGGCGGAAACGGCACCAAAGGCATCAGAGAAGCCCACGCCTTCTTCAACGAGGCCTGGGGCCGACCACGCCTCCGTATCCAGCAACAGTCGTCCTATGCCGTCATCTGCTACGGCCTCATTTTCGGCATCGTCAATGACGACAAGATGGGCTGGTTCGAGGCGGCCAACGATCGCGACATAGTAGCTCTCGAAGACCCTGGTACGGCGAGTGAGTGCAAGTGGTACCCGAGGGCGCACGAATTCACGCGTTATTACTTCTTTGGGAGGGAGAGGGAGTGGATTATGGATAATCGAGCCTACATTCGTCGATGCAACGAGGTTGAAAGGCCTATGGAGGGTACTTAAGTCAATCAACCTTGAGACTGCCGTGGTCTGTGGACTAGAATTCAATAATGCCAGCAATCAGTCTAATTATCTGGGGAATGCAGTGTCCCATAAAATGTATAGTCGACTGCCTACATTCTATCAGTTAGTCAACAACAATCAACTACTTCTTTATCGTACACCTATATTGAATCTGCATTGAATTGTTTGAGGCAGAGATTGAACAAGTCACTAAATGACGACATCACACTCACTTACCTTTGTCTTCAACCGTCTATTTACCCTTTTCTGTCAATCTAGAGGTAGCCATTTGATCTCCAATCTTGCCGAGCGCAACCTTCGAGATGAGTGGCTTGGCGTTTAGTCGTACGGATGATCGCCGGCCTAACCCAATCCGCATCATCGGGAATCAACGTTCAAGACACCTGCAAACGGCGTCGAGATCTGAGACCTTTACTTCTGCGCACAAAGCGTTGGAAGACGCTTATTTCATACTTGAGCTTTACATGCCCACTGCACATGATACTCCGAGTGTACAGTTTCTCTCATCCCTGAATCCGCTCTACCTTGAGCCACCGATGATAATATGTCCACGTCTTGGAAACCTCAGTACCGCCATACCCCTCCTTGCCAACAGCAGCGCAAAGATGAGTATCTCGGCATGTCCCCCGACATCTTTGGCCTCGTGGCTGGTATATCTGTTGCGTTACTCCTAGCAGCTATGTTCCTTTTTCCAATGTACTACATGGAGAAGCACGAGCAGCGCGGCGATAAGAAAAAGAGCCAAAGGACACTGCTGCGTTCTAAAGGAAATGGCAGTTACGGAGGTACGGGCAACACTTGGAGCACAGCGTACTTACTAACCTCGTGACTTCAAAGAGACATGCCAATGTTGCTCGCAACCCCATGGAGTGATCGATCATGCGTGCTTAGCAGAATCACCTCGACCATGCCAAACACAGCCGATGAATTTCTGTCGAGGTGGGCGAGGAATACGGAGTGGATGCAACCTACCGAGAAATTATCCTGGACTACAAGGCACCGAACGCTCTCTTCATCTGGAAGAACCAGGCGGATATGGAGCCTATTGCTGTTCAGATGCCATGTCCTTTGACATCACAATTGGTGCCACGAGAATCACCCACTCTCAAGGTTACCCAAGCACCAAATCAGAATTGAAGGCAGCCGAAACCCTAATCAACGGGCTCGCCACCTTGCTGAACCAGAGTCTCAAATCTGGTACACCTGGAATGGACGACCCGTCTCCACCTACGACTTCCTGTCCATCTCTGCCGCGGGAGCAGGGACGTTCGACGCCTCTCTCACCACCTTGTGTGTGCAGCTCTTCGAGATCCCCCAAGGGTGAGGAATCGGCATCCGAACCCTCCAAGGTTGGTCAAGACGTAGATGAGCCGTCTCGGAAGCCAGACTCTGATGGCGGTCTCTCAAATGTGCTGGCCAAGAAGCTTGCTTGCCCGTTCTATCAACACGATCCCGACGGACAATTCCGAAAGACCTACTGTACAGGGCCTGGATTTTCCAGCGTGGATGAAGTCAGGTCAGTATGGTCCGTTCCCAGGCGATACACAGGCTTATGTTATAGGCAATAGACAACACATTTACGACCACCACATAATACCCTTCTACTGCCCCCGATGCGCCGCAGTATTCTTTTCCGAGAACAGCCTTCATAATCACTTGCTGGAACCGATAAAATGTGAGCTGGTCTCAACCGTGTTGCCTCTGGGATGCACCAGACAGCAGAGAAAATTTCTGCGAAGACGAATCCATGGAACCCAAGAACAGCAGTGGCGTGCCATCTACGGTATCCTATTCCCTGTTGAGCCGAGCGAAGACATGCCGTCTCCGTGTAGGTGCTCCTCTATACTGAACACCTTACCTGACCATGTCAAAGACTCATCACTTTTTAAGACTTTGAAGACGCCCCATTGAATACCGATATCAGTGACAAGAAAGAAGAGAGTGTCAACAATGCGCAGCAACAGCAGCACTTCCGCCTCCAGCTTCCACACGTCCTGGACCGACGCTTGGTCGAGAACCCAACCAATTCGGAATCGGAAACTCCGACAGCGGATTCGACGACACGGAAACGACGCGGGGAGAACGGGGACGGGGCCACCGTCGACGTGGTACGGGGCGCCCAGAAGGAACTGTACCGGAACTTCCGTCCCATCCGACAACTAACCATTGAGGACTTCTACGACTCTGCGCCGCTGTCACCTGGTGCCCCGGCCGACGAGACTGCAAACCCGGCCCAGCCAGACGAGTCGAGAGAGCGGCATCATTCGCATGATAGTTCTGACTTTGGGGTGCTGACCGAGTCTTCTAGGTCTGGGTCTATTCAGTCAAGCGGGTTTGTGTACGCGTCTGACGAGTTTTCTGTCAGTGAGGCAGAGGATAGGGGGACGTTTTTTCAGAGATCCGGAGCGGACCGTTGTTGATTTTAATGGATTTTGAGAAACGCGTACCGGGAATATCAGTTTGTACTCAATTAACTAGAAATAATGCAACTCCTATTTACCATTTATCTTGAGTTCACTGCTTCGGAATCTCGTGTAAGTCGAAGGAGAGACCTGTGACCGCCAGTCGCCGCCAGCTGTTTCACTACCCCGCCCAGCTGCCGACGCTAACCCCACCATCGGCAGAAGACGGCACCGACAGAAGCCGGCAACGGCAACAACGTCAACGAATCCGAACCGTGGCGATTAACCTTTGAGTCTGCTAGTCTTACAAATTCTCTCCTTTCTCTCAATCGCCGAACCGTCTTCCTCCCGGACCCCAAACCGACTCCATATCTTCGCCTTGCCGCCTACTACACGACATCACCGTCTAAGCGATCGAGCCGAACGAACCCCTCCACACCTCCGCACCTCACAATGGAAGACGTCCCCCTCGAGCACGGCTCCCCAGAGCACCTCCTCCCGCCCAGCTGGAAGACAATGGTAACAGCCTGGCTCGCCGAAGACACCCCCTCCTTCGACTACGGCGGCTTCGTCGTCGGCGCCGCCCCGCGCACCGCAACCCTCTGGGGCAAATCAGGCGGCATCGTCGCCGGCCGGCCCTTTGTCGACGAGGTCTTTGCGCAGTGCGGCTGCACCGTCGAGTGGCACGTCAAGGAGGGCTCCCACGTCGAGCTCCGCGGCCACGGAGACCATAACACAAAGGGCAAGATGCGCGTCGCGACCGTCTCGGGGCCCACACGCGGGATCCTGTTGGGGGAGCGGGTGGCGCTGAACACGCTTGCGCGGTGCTCTGGCGTGGCGAGCATGACGAGGGGTATGTTGGTGAATTTGAGGGCGGCCGGGTATGCTGGTGTGCTGGCGGGTACGCGCAAGACGACGCCTGGGTTCCGGTTGGTGGAGAAGTACGGTATGCTTGTGGGCGGTGCGGACGCGCATAGGCATGATTTGAGTTCGATGATTATGTTGAAGGATAATCACGTCTGGAGCAAGGGGAGCATCACGAATGCGGTCAAGGCGGCCAAGAGCGTGGGCGGGTTCAGTTTGAAGGTCGAGGTTGAGGTGCAGAGCGAGGAGGAGGCGGACGAGGCGATTGCGGCCGGGGCGGATGTTATCATGCTGGATAACTTTACGGGCGAGGGGGTCAAGATTGCGGCCAAGAGCTTGAAGGAGAAGTGGGCGGGGAAGAAGTACTTCTTGGTCGAGGTCTCTGGCGGGTTGACGTTGGAAAACGTTGAGAACTATGTGTGTAATGGTGAGTTATGCCGGGTGACTTGTTGTTCTTCATTTGGCGATATACTGATTCATTCACAGACGTTGATATTGTTTCGACGAGTGCCATTCACCAGGGCGTACCACACGTGGATTTCTCACTCAAGGTTGAGCACTAGCTTTGATCAGTTTGTTGGTCGATTAAATCAAAAATACCGTGATACCTCAACTATGTGATGCCGTATCTACTGTAGATCCATACCTTGTGATCCGTTCAGAATCTCCTACTTCTTCCCTTCGAGCAGATCCTTTGCCATATCCCGCAGCTTGAACTTTTGAATCTTTCCACTCGGCGTCTTGGGATAATCGTCCACCCAGAAGACATGCTTGGGCACAAGATGACTCGACAGGTGCTCCCTAACCCAAGTCCTCGCCTCGTCCCTCGTAATCACATTCACCCCTTCCGCAGCACCATCACCACCCTCCCCTTTCCAGCCCTTATTCAAAACTACAAACGCAGCAACGCTTTCCCCCAACTTCTCATCCGGCACGCCCACCACAGAAACCTCCTTAACCCCTTCCATCTGGAACAAACAATTCTCAACCTCTAGGGGGTGAATATTCTCCCCACCCCTAATAATCAGATCCTTGATCCGCCCCGTAATCTCGACATACCCATCCTCGTCCATCCGCGCCTCGTCCCCGCTGTACATCCACACCCGCCCGTCCTCTTCCTCCCTCCTCACCTCCGCCGTCCGCTCCTCGTCCCCCCAATACCCCTTCATAACAAGGTACCCCGCCGCCGCGAGCTCCCCCCTCTCCCCGCGCTTCACAACCCGCCCCCGGTCTGCGGGATCAACAATCTTCACCGCCGTATGCGGCATCGCCCTCCCCACGCTCCCCGTCCTCTTATCGAACCCGTCGTCGGGGGCCGTCATACAGCTCACGGGACTCGTCTCCGTCATCCCGTAGCAAATCACCAGGTCCCGTAGCCCGAGAACCTCGTACAATCTTCTCATCAAACTCTCCGGCACCGAACTCCCCGCCGCGATGCCCTTTCTCAGACCCGTTGGCATATCCTCCTTCTTCACCACCCCGCCGCCCGCCAACGCCTCCAGCACGGCGACAAACATGGTCGAGACACCGTATAGTCCCGTCGCGTCGTAGTCAGCCACCATCTTCAGCGTGGCAGACGGGTCAAAGGCCGGGCTGGGGAACAGGATCCCCGCCCCCGTCGTCGCGGTCGCCATGTATCCCAACACGCACCCGAAACAGTGGAACAGCGGCGGCGGCACTACGATCCTGTCACCTGGCACCAGACCCATCCTCTGCGCGATGAGGTGTCCGTTATTAAGGATCGAAGTGTGCGTCAGCATCGCCGCTTTCGGTTGAGATGTCGTCCCCGACGTGAACTGGATATTGATCGTGTCGTCCGGCTTCAGCGGCGCATCGGGCACAACCGCCCTCGTCGCACCCCCAGACTCGAGTAGAACCTCATACGGCGTCAGCGCCTTGAAACCACCAGCAAATTCCACCTCGGGATGAAACCCAGCATTATCCAACACCACGACCCTTCGCAAACTCGGAACAACCTCGCTCTCCGCCACTCCTCCGCCCTTATCCAAATCCGGCACCAGCGTCCTCAGTAGCTCGAGGTTGCTCCGTCCCCGACACGGCTTATACGGCAGATCCGTAACCTTGCCAATGACGAGCACTTCGACGCCCAGATGTCGCAGCGCGGCGCCAACCTGCTTCGCATTGAAACCCGGGTTCAATGGCACGAGCACGGCGCCGAGCTTGAAGGCCGCGTAGGTGAGCGCGGCGAACTCGGCGCCGTTGCCGAGGGAGACGGCGAGGCGGTCGCCTTTGCGGACGCCGAGGGAGCGGAGGCCGTGGGCTAGTGTGTTTGAGAGGGTGTCGAGGGCGGCGTAGGTTAGGGTTATTGTCGTTGCGGCCGGGGAGGCGGATGATGAGTTTGGGGTTGGGCTGCGGGCTGTGACGGCGGGGAGGTCGCCGTGTTGAGAGACGATTTGGGAAAAGTGCTGGGGGATTGTTTGGGTTAGGAGGGTTAGCTGCCGGTTGTGTTAGCCTTACATTCTCTTTACTGTCGTCTTGCAGGTGAGCGAGTGAGGTCGCGAGTTTGTGAATTCCAGGAAATCATCATCTCTCGTGATGGGTTTTGGTGCTTCACATCAACAATTGGCCTCCCTCTATACCTGGTCACACACTCACTTACTCGAGCTGAGATGAGATGAGCTAGAGCGAGCAGAACTCCACCCTCAACAGTTGCCTAACAGCAAAGAGAAAAGCAACTCACATCCTCAGGACCCAGACTGAAACTCAACCCTTCATACCCCGAAGACAGCCTCCTCCGCTGCCCAACTTCGGCAACGACGGCACCGGGCCTCAAACCGGCACACCTTCGCCGCGCCGTAGTCCGCGCCACGGCACCCGTCGCTAGACGAACGTATCCAGCCGTCGAGAGCATCATCTTCCGTAGATGTCGTCGTTGTCGTTGTTGAAGCTTACCCGCGCTCAACCTCGGCTCTATAACCCAGAGGTTTAAATCAAAAAGGTGCTTGACTAAATCCAAAAATCCAAAAAGGTATTTCTCAAAAGATGTCTCGTTGTGACGTTATCATGGCTCTTCTTCTCTCCAACAATTCGTCGAGATATTCGAGTGCGTCTGGGTAAAGTACAATGTATCCTTCAAAGCAAGGCGGGGAGAAGAGGTTGGAACTCTCGGCCCTCGTCTTCGTCCGGTCCGTCCAGCCTCCCTCCTCTCCCGCGTCTGGCCGCTGTTCCCCCCCGTCACACCGAGCCGAAAGTTGGGGGTACACGCCTTGGCAGAGGAAGCTCCCCCGCCCTTACCTCACAGCTAATGCGGAGAACCCGTGCGGGGTTGTACCCGCTGCGAACAGGGAACACCTCCTTAAAAAAGAGCAGAAAAGGAGCCGCGGGTGCACGCGATGTGGGATTGGCCGGGTGTCAGGCGCAGAATGACGCGCCGTGACAGCCTCGACGGGTTTCGAGGCCACGCCTACGCAGTTCTTTAGAACTCTAATTCAAGAATCGGGACTGTCGGCAGGTTGATACCTAGATGGTTGTGAATCCATTGTTTGTTCACCAGTGGAGAAAGAGGGTACCCCGATGCAATTGGTGTAGCACTTCATCCTCATCGCGAGTTTGACATTTCAAATTTGTTCCAATTGCTCGCAGACTGCTTAGGGTATATGTACCACGACGCTAACGAGGATTACAGCTGTTCCCAAACATTTTGCGGCCTTTCGCCTCGCCGGACGTTCGCCTCTGGAGGCCATTTTCTGCCCATCTCCCAATTCACCCCGTGAGGTCCCTTCTCTGCTTCTCCTCCACCGGTATGCCAGATCGAGGTATGATGTAACTAGACTCTATGCCAAAAACAAAGCTCTACGCTTTCCCCCCTTTCCCTGGGTTATGCAGTTCGTTTGTAGTTCCTCTTGCCGATGCCACGAAAAAAAGGAAAGAAAGAAAAAAGTCAATAAAAAAACGAAACGCGACTTCTGAAACATGCCCAACCCGTGACCGAGGGTGAGGACGCCGCTGGAGATGCAAATATTACAAGAGACATGTACCAGAAGAAAAGGTGTGTCGTCACATTCGTACGGCTCGATGGCTGTCTTATTTCGATTTCGACGAACCATCCTCGTTTTGCTCGCCAATGTGGCGAAGCTCTTCGGGTTTCCAAGTACCTGCGGTCACATATTAGTTTTACATCTTTGGAAACAACATGTGTCCTGACTCACCCTCAAAGTCGTGCTTCACAAAGGCCATAGGATCGTCGTAATCCTTGGCACCCATCTGTTGCACGCCAGGGCTGAAACTCGTGATGGGGAGAACCACCACATCGCCCACCTTCTTGGACGTCTCCATACCCGTGAAGTTCTGCCAGTCAATAGCTCCCTTGGAGTTCTTCATGTTAAAGTATCGGGGGTCGTTGAAGTAGTCGAAGATGGCGTCGGTCCAAATCGCAGGTCCAGTGAACTCGACAACGTTCTTGTCGGCAATGTTGTCCAGCTCGCCTGCCTTCTTGCGCTTCAAAGCTTCCTGAGTGATGCGAACAACAATCTCGCGCAGGACAGGGTGCCCGGGCTTGGATTGAATGGTCCATTGGCAGAACTGAATACGACGACTGTACCAGTCCTTCCAATCAGGGCGGTCAGGATCAGCCTCAATGCCAATAACGAGACCGACGCTCTCCCGGGGAATGCGTTCGGGAATCCACTCAAGGGCAGATTTGATAGCGTAGGTATCAATGTCGGAGTAGATACCGCCGCGCGCAAGCAGGATCAGGTATCGGAAGAAGTCGGCCTTCAGGACGGGCAGAGGAAGAGCGTCGTACGCCTTGAGAACCTCGGGGACGGACGCGTATAGGAGGCGCAGCAGGTTGACTGCGACCTTGTCGGTAATGACCTCGTGCACGAAGCCAGGGTGCTGTTCTGACCAACTGGCTTCCTGCTCGCGGAAGTTGAATTGTTGCTCAGCAGGTGTCCACTTCCATGTCTGCCAAATGTAGGCCGGGAAACGCGTTTCGGGGTCATAGGGGTATTGGTATGCCAGCTTGTCGTACAAGGACATCTTGGACATGTCCATCATGGGCTTTTGCGTCGCAACCTTGGGAGCAGAGGGCTTAATCTCGCCGTCGGCGGAGGCAGGGGTGTATGAGGACGTTTTCGAGTCGGTCGTATCATGGTTCGAGGCAGCGACTGGTGCCTTGACAGCAGGTGTTGTGTCGTGGGAGGAGGAAATTAGGTAGAAAACGATTAAGAGGAACGCGGCGACCGCGACGGCTCTTCGAGGTGTGAGCATTGCGGATTTATGTGTAAAGAGTGACGGCTTGTTATGATTTCAATTGGTAGACTATGAAGTCATCGGAAGGCAAAGTTTCGCTTTGCCAAAGACTCGTACAATCGGATTGTAGGATTGGAAAAGAGTGGCTGTCGTAGATAGAGTCGGATGCGACGTGGTTCCTGAAAAAGTTGGAGGCACCGGATTAGGGGTTTAAGGAGGATGAGAGTCGTAGGAAGCTTTCAGGTTCGGACTATGGCGGAGTGATTCCTGCGAAACCAAGAAAGATTATGTCAGTTTGGGACTGATTAGGTGAATGGAGCAAGAGGCAGCAGGTTGAGGCGCAATGCTG